TAACAAGTAGAAATTGTACAAAAAAGTTAAATTCGCTAACACTATTACAAAGCTTTCTTCTTTTCTACTCTTAATAGCTGCCAAAAAAATCCCCCAAAAACCAAAAACACAGGACACAGATATCTGAATTGCAACTAATATAATTATAATGCTTAGTTTATTTTCATATAACTAAAACACTATCTCCATTCTCCTAAAATCCATCTAGTTTGGCCTATATAAAAAGACATATGAGATAAATGTGTCAAAGTATTACTAATGGATCAGAGGAACAGCCAGCTGTGGCATAAGCAATTTTTAACCTTTCTAATCGGAAGATTAAAGTTAGTAATTGATGGCTCCTTTGGGATTCTCAACTGCCTCTGGAATTCCTGGTAGTAATCAAAAGCATTATTTTCACCTATGCTTAGCACAGATGTTACAACTTTTTCCCTTAATGTAGAAAAACAGTAATGCTTCCTTTGTGACCTTTTAGTAGCAACGCCTTACCAGTGTGGTTCAGTGGAAAGAGCACAGGACTTGAGTCAGAGCACTTGTATTTGAAATACCTATGTGATTTGAGGCAAGTCACTTAACCTCTCTAGGTCTTAGTTTCTTCATCTGTAACATGAGAAGTTTTGGCTAGATGATCTCTAAGGTCCCTTCCAGCACTCAGTGTTAAGATCCATTCTATGTACATGGAAGTACTATTTTTCCAAATAACAAGATAAAGGGTCATGACATCTTATCACATGACATCCTGAGTAGACTTAGGCATCTATTACTCTAATTTCATTTTAGGTAATTCAACTTCACCCTTCATTCTTCTAAATCCCTCCTCCACACAACAAGCTGTATTAAGCCCAGAAGCAGCCTCCTCTCCCATTTAGGACTAGGTTAAATCATTTAAATTCAGGCCTTTATAATGTAACTCTGGTAGCTTTCCTGAGAGGAAGAAAAAAGTCAGGTCTGGAGTCTGTGCCCATGCTGCAATAGACAACAGTTTTCCGAAACTAACAGAAGCCATCAATGTAGCAGTGGCTCCCACAATAAAACGACACCTCCACAAAGGTTCTGGACATTCCTATAAGATACCTACACTTCTCCACACTCCCAGAAAAACCAGGGGCTACAGATAGTTAGAACTCTCTCCCCCTCAGGGGAACAAATAGAATTAGTCAATGGCTCTGAATAATGAAGCTTTTCATATAGAAACAAAAGTTTTAACAAATGTATAGTTATACAGTTAGAAACACAGAAGCATATCAATATATGCATTTTGCTTACATTTGGATTTTTTAAAAAATCTAGCTTGCAAATGCAAAATGGGGGAGATGTGACTAGACAACAGTTCTACACCTAAAAAAAGAGGGGTTTTGGCAAACTGCAAGATTATGAAGAAAAAAATGTTACAGCAGGCCAAGAAGCTATTGCTATCTTAGACTGCACAAAGAGGAATTTTGTTGTTGTTGAATCGTTCTTCAGTCATGTCCCACTCTTTGTGATCCCATGTGGGTTTTTCTTGGCAAAGGTACTGCCTTTTTTGTTAGAAAAGGTTTGCCATTTCCTTCTAAAGATGAGTCTTCCTGAAAGAGAAATAGTGATAACAACTAGAAAGTTGAGAGACCTACTTAACTCTGCCCTGGTTGTACCATTTCTGTAGCTGTGTTTCATTCTGGGAACCATGTTTTTTTGGAAGGGCATTGATAAACAGGGTAGTGTCCAAAGCAAGGCAACTGGTAAACTGGTGGACCTTATGACTATGCTATCTGAGAATGAATTAAAGGAACTAAAGATTCTGGAAAGAAGACTTACTGTGGACAAAATAGCTGCCTTCAAGTATTTGAGGAAGAAGGATTACACTTGATCTTGGCCACAGAGAAAACAACTAGGAGCAATGGGTGAGGCTACAGAAGTCAGATTTCAGCTCAACATAAGGAAACATTTCCTAACATTTAGAGTTTTCAAAAACTGGAATGACTCTGTAGGTAGTGCACTCTCTTTAACTGGAGGACTTCAAATAGAAGGCTGGATCTCTACATGTTGGAAATGCTGTAGAGAGGAGGTCAGGTTAAAAAGGTAGACTAGATGATCTCTGAGGCCTTTACCAATTCAGATTCTGTGATTCTTTGGGTCACAAAGGAAACCAGGCAAAGGATGGAATTCATAAATAATTTTTCTAAGCACTTTACTATGACTTATTTAGCATCTCCCTCAGCATCTAGCATGTGCCTTACACATACCAACTACTAGATGTTTTTTGTTCAGTTGTTTCCAACTCTTCATTTGGGGCTTTCTTGGCAAAGATACTGAGGTGATCTGCCATTTTCTTCTCCAGCTCATTTTACAGATGAGGAAACTGAGGCAAACAAGGTTAAGTGACTTGTCCAGGGTCACACTGCCAGTAAGTGTTTCTGAGGCCAGATTTGAACTCATTAAGAGGAGTCTTCTTGACTCCAGGCCTAGCACTCTATCCACTGCACCACTCAGCTGCCCAAATAACTGTTAGAGTTGAACTTTTAAAGTGTCTGGGAAGCAAATTTTGGGAGGCAGTAGCAATTAATTATGCTTCTCTAACAACCCTAGTTCTAGTTCAGTTCTGGGCTTGATTCTTGAACTCAGATCTACACTGACACAGTCCACTCCAAGTGGAATTACAGTTAACCTGAGAACAGACAGCGTCATGAAGTATCCTAGGGAGCTGAATGCTAGAAATGCTACTAGGATTCTCTTTAAAGTGGTTCTAAGGCTCCAAAGCTAAATCATAAGACTAAAAATCCCAAGAATGAGGGATTCATTCATTCAAAAAATGTTTGCCTCAGGCTGTTAAGGGGCTCCTTTTTTTTTTTTTGTTAACAAGGCCTACTACATACATAAATGACAGTGTACTTGTCCCTCACGGTGCTATATTCTAATATAAAATTGACCTAAGAACACAGTTACAAAAAAGGGCAAGTATAATGTACTATAAATTCCTTATGAGTAGTACAAAGAGCCATAGTTGTTCTGAGGAGGGAGAGATCAATTCTGGCTGGGGTAATCTGGCAAAACTTCATGGGAAAGGTTTTGAGTTATGCCTTGAATGAGGATGAGTGAAGACTGGGGGTTCAGGCAGAAGAAGCCTCCATTTTGCAGAGCCTATCAGTCACAAACAGGAACATTAAGGACAGTAATGATTCATAAATTTATTGTCATTTTGATTCATACAAATAGAAAAAGTGTCTGCTCAAATAATTCCATGAAAATTACACAAACATACCTCAAATGTTACCACACAAAACTATGCAAAGAAACTCACTCATGACCCTTTATATTTCATTTTAACACATTAAAAGATTTTTCTCAAGTCATCTGAGGATAAAAAAAGCTACTGGTTTATATAAAAGTTGTGACTATTTTAGTTTACTGTACCAAAAAAAATGACTGTATAGATCATTTTTAAAAATCTTGTTGTTGCTGCCAGTGAACACAAATTTAATCTCAAAGAAGCAATGAATGACATTAATAACATTTCCTCCAGAAAGAGTAAATAAATACTTCCTTTGCCTCAAGTAATATACTGGTATCCCTTCCCCCAGTAGCTCAGTTAAAAAGCGCCTAAAGCTCTTAGTGGTATGCTTTTGCTTTTCACACACGGGATGACAAAGCTTTGCTAGGACAAATGACCAGAAATAATGAAAAAAAATCAGTAACTATGGAGGGTCGAGCAATACACTATCACACAAAAACTGCTTTAAGGACTAAGACAAAGATTTAGAGGCTCTATCACTGTATATGGGGTGTGTATCATAATCTTGGTCACAGTGTAAAGAAAAGAGTAGGCATCTACAGAAGCCAGCTACAGATCTTCCTAACCCGGGACGCATGCTTTAAGGAAGGTTTTTTTTTTCCCTCTTCAGTACTTTCCCTTCACCTCCTCCTCACAAAGCTAATGAAACGTTCTATTTTCTCCAAAGCAGGGCTAAAGATAGAGAAATATCTAAATCTAACAATCAGATAATAATGACACTCAATTCCCCTTAAATTCGTCTCCCTTGATCCTTTAAGGGGATTAAAAACATGAAGATCTTACCATCACCCTCCCAAGACTAACTCTTCAAATTTTCATTATTATTCATCGTTTCCCCTGTCCTGCCCCAAAGGTCTCACCTCCGAGAAACACATCTGAAACTCCTCCACCCTTGTCTCTCTCTCATCCCCGTTAGTGGACAAGATCATAACATTCTCCACATCTTACTCTCAAGAAAAGGCTTAGCCAAAGGGGGAAAAACGCCCGAGAAAAAGGAAAAGAGGCAGGAAGGCCTGTCTGTGAACCAGAGAGTACCTAAATATCTATTGGACTCTTTAAAAATAAGCAAACTCCAACAGCAAAGCTCGAAGCTACTTCTCCAAATACTCAAGTCACGCCCCTCCCCCACTGCCAGAGAAGATAAGGACGGCAGAGAGGCCCTAGAAAGGAAGGTGGGTCTCCCGTTTGACATCCAGGTCACCCCCAAGTGAAGCAGGCATCCTCACACGTGGAGTCCGGGGGAGGGAGGGGTTAATTATGGGGAGAGCAGGCTATTTCCTTCCGCCGCCCCCCACCCCAGCCCGGACCCCACCCCAGCTGCATCTGTCTCAGTCCCTCTGTCTCTCGTTTCCCCGCACTTCCTGAAGACCCCACCTCCCCCAGCCCGGGCCCCGCTTCTGCCACGCCTCGAAGCGCGCCCCCCACCCCAAACTCTTCCCCCCTCCCCTTGCAGATCTTCCTCTCCCACCCCTCACCGCTTACGCCCCCTCCCCCAAAAGCCAGGCCGGGCTCCCCGCCCCTAGCACTGCAGCAGCACCGGCCCCCCGACTCAGCCACAGACACACTGGTGCACACGAGCCCCGCTACCCACGAACACACAAAAGCTCCCACAACCTCCCCGCTCCCCCCCCACCAAGCCGGGCCCAACGAATCAATGAAGCCGCGGCTCCTGGCGGGTGGGCCCTCCCCTCCTGGCTCTCTCCTCTCCCCCTCGGGCCGGGCCCGCGCTCACCATCGCTGCGCTTGATCTCCACGTAAATCCCGATCTGGATCTTGCCAAAGTTGGCCGCTGCCATCACCTCATCGGGAGGAGAGGCTGAGGACGAGGCGGCTGGAGCGAGGCTGGGGAGGGAGGGGGAGGAAGGGGCGCAGGAGGGGCGGGGGCGGAGGAGAGGGGAGGGAGGATGGGGAGCGGGGAACGCCGGGACGGTTACCGGCTGGAGCGTGGAGGGAGAGCGAGGGAGGCGGGGCCGGGCTACACTCGCCGGGGCTGCTGCAGCGGCAGGAGGCCGAGGCGGAGCGGGGCCGGGGCCGGGGCCGCAGCGGGGAGCTGAGGGGGAGGGCCCGAGTTGCCAGGCTTGTCTGGGATAAAGCCGACGCGGGCAAGGCCACTAGCAATGCGCCTGCGCGGCAGGGCTCTTCCATCACCCTCTCTTCCCTCCTCCCCCTCACGCCTTGACCGGCCCCGCCCAGCTCCGCGGAGTGTAGCGTCATTGCGCCCCGCAGAGGAGAGGAGACAGGCTGGCGGGCTGAGAGGGGGAGGGAGGCGCGTGCGCCGGGGGCGCTGGGGAGGGGTCTCGCGCGCGCGCGATTTTGGTTGGCAGGCGTGGTCTGGAAGAGGCGGGGGGAGAGCCCGGGAGCGAGGGGCGCGGATTCCTTGGTTTGGCCTTCTTGCCTCCAAGGTTGGTGCAGCGACTACTAGGAGACGGCGACCAAAGCAGCTGCTGAGACTATTTAGGGTCCCCACCCGTTGGCGCCTAGGGAAGGGGGTGGAGCTGGCTTCGGAGTCTGGGGACGTGAACTTGGTCCCTGGGCTGGGGTTAGGTTGGACCCCCTGAGGATGATGCTCCACTGCTCCAGTACAAGGCTGGTCCTAGTAACCCTACCCTAAGGCACCACCAGGTTGAGTCTCTAGTTAAGAAATCTTGCTCTTCAATGGAGTGAAGAGCCTCTGTAGGTCTCACGGTTCTGCCTTTCTACCATGATGCCTGCCTGCAGAAGCTCTGCAGGGAGATGTGACTTATTCGGTAGATGATGCAGAAAGCTCAGTGGCTGCGACCTGGCTCTGCGAAGCTAACTGGGGCCAAGGCCCTGAGTGAAATACGAAGCCTAGACACCTTAGATTTTGCCTGCAGCCACTTAATTTGTGGTACTACAGGAGTAATGTAACTGCTGACGATCCAGGCATAGTTGGGCAAAGTGGGTAGAGCATGTAGGGAAGGAAGCATGGAGTCAGGAAGACCTGAGTTCAAATTTGGATTAGACAAGTGCTATGAACCTTGGCAAGTCATTTACCTTCCGTTGAACTCGGTCGCATCTAAGGTAACTTTCCAATTCTAAATCTGTGATCATTTGATTTTTACAAAAATATTATGATAGGTGTAACATAAAATCCTTACACCAAGCTTGGGTTTGGAAGGTCGCCCCCAAAGGTTTTTCGTTGCTCCTTGGGGTATCTATGCTTCAAGCTGTTAGAGCCTGGATTTTCACTCAGATTCCTGGTTCTCCTGGTCTTTAAACTCCCAGACCTGGAGATTTCACTCCCTGCATTTAGAACAGAAAAGAATGAAGAAAAAGGCCAACAACCTTCGCTTGTTTCTCAGGGGGGTTGACCATATGACCTCAGAAAGGGAAGAAGGTCCTGAGACTATCCCCATAACAGCATAGTTTCTCATGGATCTCCTTGAGAGAAAGAGTTACTGAGGTACCCCAAGGTGATAATAAAAGAAAGACACAGCCTGGGCTGACTCAGGATTTTTGGAAGATCCTTACAGTTCTGGCTACACTATCAGTGGAAGAAGCCTCCTCCCACTACTTGTAGAACAGTTTCTCAAAGGCACTTTCCTTACATGTCATCATGATTCTCCTGGAAACGGCTCCACTGACTGCCCATGCTCCTAACCTCCATTACATATTTTTTAAAAAATTGTTTCAGGTGTAGGATGCAATGTAGGGGGGAAAGGCTACTCTTGTGTTCTATATTTAAAGGTTAATATACTTTTTTATTGGAGAAGTATATATTGCTCATGGATTGGTCACACCGATATAATTAAAATGACAGTACTTCTTAAATTATTTTACTTGCTTGGTGCCATACCATACTGCCAGAGTACCACTTTGTAGAGCTAGAATATAACATATTTCATCTGGAAAATAAAATGTCAAGAATCCCAAGGGAAGTAAGGGAAAAAATAGAAAGGAAGGAGGCCCAGAAGTATCAGATCTCAAACTATACTGTAATGCCATAATAAAGCAATTTGGTACTGGTTAAACGATAGAAAGAAGTTGGTCATTGGAATAGATTAGGTACACACAATATACAGAAGCAAACAAATACAGAAACATAGTGTTCAGTAAATCCTAGGACCACAGTTTCTAGAGTAAGAACTCACTATTTAACAAAAGCTGTTGGAAAAACAGGAAAACAGGAAAACCATCTGGCAGAAACTAAATATAGACCAACATCTCATACCATATACCAAGACAAGCTCTAAATACATACATGATTTGGATATAAAGAGTGATATCAAAAACAGGGAAAAGGAAGAAATTACCTTTCAGATCTTTGGCAAGGGGAAGAGTTACTTTTTTGAAATCTTTCCAAAAATCTATGGCATTCCTATACAACATTTTTCAAATTCACAAAAGCAAAAAACTATAAGCATAAGCATTACACCAACATAAAATAATGCCATGAACTTAAAACATGGAATACAAAACAAAACTTATTGCCAATGAGATAACATTAATCTAATTGAGTTACCATCTTACAAGGTAAGATCATTCCATTCATCTACCAATTTCCACAATCTCTTTTAGTTCTCTTCAGAAACCAGTATAGAATAGCTATAACTTTTCCTGTCATGGATTCAAAAGTACAACTATAACCAGCAATTTTTTTTAGATATTATTTTTCCCAATTATTTGTCAAGACAATTTTTAGCATTCACTTTTACAAGATTTTGAGTTCCCAATTTTCTCCCTTCCTCCATTCCCTCCCCTCTTCCTAAAATGATAGGTAATTTGATATAGATTATACAGGTGCTATCATTTAAAACATATTTCCATATTAGTCACAGTTGTGGAAGAAGAAACAGATCAAAAGGGAAAAAAAAACAAAAAAGAATAATGGGGAAAGTATGCTTCAACCTGCATTTCATAAGTTTTTATCTGGATGTGGATAGCATTTTCGTTTAGGAGCCCCTTTGTACTTAGATCATTGTGTTGCTGAGAAGAGCTGAGTCATTCATAGTTGATCATCACATGATATTGCTGGTGCTGGGTACAGTGTTTTCCTGGTTCTATTCATTTTACTTTGCATCAAATTTGTACAAGTCTTTCCAGGTTTTTCTGAAGTTTGCCTGTACATTATTTCTTATTGCACAGTAGTATTCCATTACTTTCATATACCACAACTTGTTCAGCCATTCCACAATTAGTGGTCATCTCTTCAATTTCCAATATTTTGCCACCATGAAAAGGGCTGCTATAAATATTTTTTGCACATGCAGGTCCTTTTCCCATTTTTATGATCTCTTTGGGATACAGACCTAGTTGTGGTATTGCTGGATCAAAGGGTATGCACAGTTTTATAGCCCTTTGGGCATAGTTCCAAATTGCCTCCAGGGTTGCATCAGTTCACAACTCCACCAATAGTGTCCCATCAGTGTCCCAATTTTCCCACATCCTCTCCAAAATTTATCATTTTCCTTTTTTGGCATATTAACCAATCTGATATGTGTAAAATGGTACCTTAGAGTTGTTTTAATTTGCATTTATTTCTCCAATCAAATTTAGAGTTAGATTTAGACCACTTCTTCATATGCCTATAGATAGCTTTGATTTCTTCATTTGAAAACTGTGTGTTTGTATCCTTTGACCATTTATCATTTGGGGAATGGCTTGTATTATAAATTTGACTCAGTTCGCTATATACTTTATCAGAGACACTTACTATAAAGATTGTTTCCCACCTTTTTCCTTTCTTTCTAATTTTGGTTGCATTGGTTTTGTTTGTGCAAAAGCTTTTTAATTTAATATAATAAAAATTATCTCTTTTACATTTTCTAATGCTCTTCATCTTTTATTTGGTTATGATTTCTTCCCTTCTCCATAGATCTGAGAAGCAGACTATTTTAACATTTATATTAATTGTCTATGATACCTTTTAGCCAAATGTAGTTTACTTCCTTATCTCTTTTAATTAGATCTATTTTTTGTTTTTGCTTTGTCTGAGATAAAGATTGCTACCCCTACTTTTTAAAAATTTCAGCTGAAGCATAATAGATTCTGCTCCAGTCCCTTGCCTTTACTCTGTGTGTGTCTCTTTGCTTCAAGTGTGTTTCTTGTAAACAACATATTGTTAGATTTTGGTTTTTGATCCACTCTGCTATCAATTTAATGTTACATGGGAGAATTCATCCCATACATATTCAGTTATGGTTACTATGTATTTCCCTCCATCCTATTTTTCCTCCTGTTTGTCCTCTCTCTCTCTCTCTCTTATTTCACCCATTCCCTCCTTGACAGTGTTTTACTTCTGTCTACCTCCTCCCCAGTCAACCCCCTCCTCCCCCTTTACTTACTCATCCCCTTCTTTCCTGTTGGATAAAAAGGCAATATTCTTTTAACATTGCCTACAACCTTTAAATACATATTTTAAAAATTGAACAAAATAGTTATATGAAAAAACATATATAAGCACACACACAGACCTGAATTTTTAAACTGTTAAAGAGAAACAGCCTGGTTTTGTAGATAAATAATCTGGCCTTGGAGTCAGAAAAACCTGGGTATAAATACTGCATGTGGGTAGGTCTCTTAACCTAAAGGTTAAGGTAACTCTCTGATGCTGTAAGTTCTATACTGGTTGCTGATAAGCCTGGGTGGAGGGAGTGTCTACGCCAGAAGCTCCTCACATGTATAAAAAGTTCTCTAAACCAATGAAATCACAGATCAAGCAGAGACTGATTTTAAACTACCAAGCAAGCTTGAAATATGATTTTTTTATATTTTAAAATAAATTTTTAGCCATCTCTTGTTTTCACATCATCTGCCTTTTTCAATGTATCCTTCCTTCCACCCTTCTCATAGAACTATCCCTCATAAAAAGAAAAACTAGCCAGAACATTGGAAAAAGTCTGACATCTGCAGTGTACCATAC